GTCTGTAGGGCTACGTGGGGTTTGCTGGGGGAACCAGGGCGTTTGTTCCCCGGTCGGGACTCTGCTGGCAGCGTCCCTTGGTGCAGTGACCGTGTGCTCGCCCGAGTGTCCTGTAACAGGCCGCGAGGCCAGCCGAGTCCCCGGTCAGCTGTGCAGCAGGAGTGCACCCCGCGTGTGTCCGGTGGGGTCGCGTCTCCCGCCGCGTTAGGGGCTCGGTGGCTGGGGTCGCGTCGGCGTTTCTGTCTCAGCTGCTGTGCCTGCCTGCGTGCGCTCGGTGGTGTTGCCGGTGATCGCTGCGATCGGTTGGTAGTTACTCTTGCCATCTCTCTCTTCTGAGGTTTGATGGCCGTGGCTTCAAAAAAAGAAGGCCCGTTTGCTCTGTTCTCTCTCCTCTAGAGCCCGTGGTCCGGTAGGCCTGCCGGGCCAGCCCTCGGCACTTCTGTGTCTCCTCTCGCTACCGGCCCGTTCAGCTTTCCCTCTGCTGGAGTCCACTTCATCCTAAGCCCCTTGGCCGCTGGGCAGAGCCACCCGTGACGGGCTCTCGTCCCCTCCCCACCCTTGCTCTGGAGCCCCGCCCCCACCGTCTGCTTCCCCTGTCCAGGCCCAGGTTCTGGCCCTCAGGCCCGGGTCGGGGAGGTGGGTGTTGGGCGAGCTGTGCGACGCCTGCTGTGCTTGCAGTGGAGACCTTCAGCGATCTGGCGTTTGGGGACATCTTCCTGCACCTGCTTACGGGCAACCTGGCGCTGTTGGCGGACGAGTTTGCCCTGGAGGACTTCTGCAGCAGCCTCTTCGACGGCTTTCTCCTCACCGCCTCCCCGAGGTGCCCGTCCTCTCAGTCCACATCTCAGTCGGGGGCGCCGGGCACAGCTGGGGAGGGGGTGGGAGGGCAGCTCTGCAGCCGCCTGCAGCCCAGCGCGGCCTCTTCCAGGAAGGAGAATGTGCAGCGGCACGTGCTGCGGCTCCTCCTCCACCTGCACCACCGGGTGGCCCCATCCAAGCTGGAGGCCCTGCAGAAGGCGCTGGAGCCCACGGGCCAGGTGGGTGCCCTCCCCTGCCCTGCCCTGCCCCGGCTGGCTGGCGTGCGTGTGCGTGCGTGCGTGCGTGCATACGTGTGTGTGTGTGTGAGAGAGAGAGAGAGAGAGAGAGAGAGAGAGAGACAGAATGGGAGAGGGAGAGAGGAGAGAGATCTGTGTGCACACGCTCTGGGCCTGCCCCAAAGCCACGCGCTTCCCCCCACAGAGTGGAGAGGCGGTGAAGGAGCTGTATTCCCAGCTCGGTGAGAAGCTGGAGCAGCTGGACCGGAGGAAGCCCAGCCCGGCCCAGGCCACAGAGACCCCAGCCCTGGAGCTGCCCCTCCCCAGCGTGCCCGCCCCAGCTGTACTCTGAGGCTCCGCCTGGGGCTGCTCAGGGGTGGGCAGGGCCCCCGGTGGGGTCGCGGCCCTGGTCAGCCAGGGGAAGAGGCTCCCCTGTGCCTGTGAGAGCAGGAGCCCGTCTCTCCTGGAGGTGGACTGACTGTTCCTGGGACTGGGGGTGGGCTGAGCGGAGACCCCGGGGACCGTCCTGTGGGCAGGGCACCTGTGCTCTGCACCTCAGCCTCCCCTGGAACTTGGTCCTGGGAGGTGTGTGCCTCCTGCGTGAATGGGACCCGCGTGGCTCCCTGGAGCACAGGCCTGCTGCAGGTCTGCTGCCCCCCATCTGGCCCCTCGCACTCCCACGCCGTGGAAAGCTGCTTGCTTGTTCCTCCTCGCGTGTGGGTTTCCACTGCTGTCAGGCAGACAGGCAGTAGTTGGCATTAGGAAAAGGACACCCGTTTTCCAAGGGGCGGGGGGGGGGGGGGGGGGGTGGGGCAGGGTCCGAGGCCTGAGGGGAAGAGGGCGGGCCATCAGGGTTGGCGCCCGATTGGCAGAACCGCGGAGTTTGCTGGGGGCAGGGGTCTGCAGGTGGAGCCCAGCTCTCCAAGGAGCTCCTCCCCTGTTGACAGTCCCGTGTAGCACATGGGGGAGGAAAGCCCAGGCTCCCCTGCTGCCTCGATTTACCCTCCGAGCAGCGTCCTCGGCCAGGTGAGGGTCTGCTGCTGTTCATAGTGAGACTTTCACTTTTGTAAATAAAAGGCGTTTTGGTAAATCCAGCAGACGAGCTGTTTCTGTGAGCGCCCAGGGTTGGTTGCAGTGCAGGCTGGCCAGCACTTTCCTGGTGCCTTTCTCCGTGGGCACAGCTTGGATGCCCAGCCCCGTCCGGGACAGCAACTGTGGATGGTGAGGCCTGGGCCTGGCTGCACTCGGGGCCAAAAGACTCGACACGGTCAGCCCTGGGTGGGCCTCAGTGCCCATCACCAGTGCTGACAGGTTGCCGAGGGGCAGGCTGTGTGGAGGTCACTGTGACCTTGACAGGTGCGGCTCTGCAGGTGTCGGGGAGGCATTGGTAGAGATGGTGACTGAGGAAAGCAAAGACCCGGGGGTGTGGGCGTCAGCAGTCGGGAGGAGCCCGGTGTTCGTGCGCTGATGGGAGTGACAAGGGATGAAAAGTGGATGGGGCTTCGGGGGACGGCTGGGGTGTCACTGAGTGGGGTAGGGGGCAGCGCCAGGACCAGGTGGGCCCCGCGGGAGCAGGCGCGTTCCCAGGGAGGAGGCGAGGACCACCTTCCAGCTGCCGCTTTTCCTCTGGGACCCAGGGGGTCCTGGGCTGGGAGGCAGGATGGGGCAGAGGTGGGGCCCGAGGCGAGGATGAGGAAGGAGCTGGGCCGGGGGAGGAGCAAGTGCCCGCACGGGGCCCGCGTGACCCCCCTGAGGCTCACGGTCAAGGGGGACAGAGACCAGTCGGCGAGGCCAAGCTCCTCCAGCCCGGACGAAGGGACCGGGGACCAGAGGCCCCCGGTGGGTGGGGCTCGTCAGGGGAGGGCGTGAGCTGCAAGGACGGACGGGGTGGGGGTGAGGGCTGCAGCGATGGAGAGCCCCAGGTGGGCCGGTGGGAGGGGGCAGCTGAGCTCAGGGACCCTCTGGGGCTGCGAGGGAGGAGGGAATCCTGAGGCTGGACCGGGCAGGGCTGCGGGGAGGCTGGGGGGTGGGAGGTCTGGTCAGAGGAAGGGAGCGTCCACACGGGAATTCGGGGAGGAGGGAGCATGTGTGTGGTGCGGGCCCTGCCCACCTCCAGGCCAGCAGTTTGGGAACCTGAGCCCACACTGGGCTGGTGGAGGGGTCGTGGGTGGGCAGCGAGGTGAGGGGTCTGCAGAGACCAGGTTGAAGTTGTGGACCTGAATTCGGGGCTGGGGACAGGGCTGGACAGGGCACGGGCTGGAGGGAGGGGTGGGAGGGCATCATACGGGTGTGGTGGGCTCGGTCCTGAAGGGTAGGGACAGGTGGGGCCCCCTTCACCCCTGGAGATGGGGGAGAAAGTACAGAGGAGGCGGGCCTTAGTGCAGGGCTCAGGCTCACCCTTGACCCCGCTGGGGGCAGGCCCTCTGAGGCATGACTTTCTTGACTCCTGCCACACCCCACGTCCAGGCCCCCACCTCACCCAGTGCTGGGGCTCTGGAGCCCAGCAGGTTTGGGACCAGCATCTGGCGGAAGCAGCCGCCAGCCAGCGCCCCGCCCCCACCCCTGGGCACCTGTTCCTGCGTCTGCCTGTCAGGGCCCCCTGGGGTTCTGTGTCAGAAGAAGCTGGGAGACTGTAGAAAGCCTGAAGACGCCAAAGGACCCCACCCTCATACCGGGGCCGTGGGGCACCAGCAGAGACCTGGACAGATATCCTTCCGTCCTGGTTCCAGGAAGGCCTGGGCAGGGGCCACATGGTGGGTGAGGCCCGAGGGGTCCCTAAGCACCTGGCCCAGCACAGAGAGGGGCAGCGGGTCTCGGGGAGCCAGGCCCGCAGCTGGAGAGGAGGAAGCGGAGAAGCAGTGGTTTCTCAGTGATCCTGCCAGAGGGCATCGGACACACGTGGACAGGCAGGAGCCCCATATTCTGGGGAGGACGGGAACCCCCAAGCCCATGAGTGACTTCTCCCTGATGCAGGTTGGACAGGGAGGTGGAGGGAAGCTAGGAAGTGGGGAGGGATGGCACGCTCGGCAGAGGGACCCGTGTGGGCAGAAGTGTGGAGGATGAGGGACAGGGAGGCTGGAGGATGGGGGGCTCAGGACTGCCAGCGCCCGCAGGACACAGTTGAGCTCGGGGCCAGGACTGGTCTGGGGGCATTACTGGTTAGCAGACCCGCTCCAGAGGGGAGGGTCATCCAGATAGGCCAGTCTCCACAGAGATGGGAACGGGGGTGGGGGCAGGGCCACTTGAAGCTGGTGGCGGGGAAGGGCCCAGAGTCTCCATCTGCCAACTCTGGGCCCAAGTTCTTTCTAAATTTGCCTTCCGACCAGGGCCCTCAGTCATGTGTGGGGTTTTTTCTCCCATTCTAGAACTTCCTGCCCTGTCCTGAGGGGGTGCTCTAGGCCGGGGTACAGGGGAAGATAAAGGGGGAGGCGGAGGGGGGGAGCGCTGTGGAGCCCGGGACCTGGTGGAAGAGGGGGAGGAAAAGGAAACGAGCCCTACTCTGTGAGCACCCAGATTGGGCTTGGGCGGGGTGAAGAGGGGAGAGGGTTGGAGGACCCCAGCTGGGGGAGGACCCTGCCCGCCCGCTCCGCCTCTGCTAACCGGCAGCCTGGACACGCCTATGCCCCTCGCTGTGGGCCCTGCGGGGGGCGGGGGGTGGTCAGGCGCAGATGTCCCTGGGGAGGTGGGGGTCCTGTGGAGGGCAGGCTGAGGAGCAAAGGCACGTGGGACCCCAGGGGAGGCATTGCCCTCGGCCTCACCGGGTGTCCTAGGCCTGGGCTGAGTCAGGAGGGCTGGGACGGCTTTAAGGTAGGTGACCAACCGGCCGGGGTACCTGGGCGAGTCAGCCAGGCCTCCCCCTCTGGTGCCTCCGTCCAGCCTGAGTCCCGTCCGCGCCACACCCCTGACTCACTTCCTTTGCAAAGAAGCGGAAACCTCCCCAGAGCTTCCTCCGCTCCGGAGGAGGTGTCGCTGCCCCTCTGAGCCTGAGCTGACCCAGTGAGGCCCCTGACCCCACCCCGACCCCCGCCAGGAAGCCAGCACATTCAGCTTCCTGCGTCGCAGGCCCCAGCCTCTGGCGTGGGCTGGGGGCCCGCCCTGGGGGGCTGGGGTTGGGCCAGCGAGAGCCTGAGCTGACGCAGCTGCAGGTACCGGGGAGGGCCGGGGGCATCCACCCCACCTTTCTCCAGCTGTCTCAGTGGCTTCATCTCTCCTTCTCCGGGTCTTGTCTTTCTGTCTCTCTTTTCACCCCACCCCCACCCGCCTCTAGGGGGCTCCCTGCCCCCAACTCCATTAGTGTGCCCACTAGAGCGATGCTGGGAGGCCTGGGCTCAGCTTGGGGACAGGGGCCCATTCTGGAAAGCAGAAGTAACGGCCAGACCGCCCCCACCACCACCAAGTGTTCGTGGGGGAGGGGCATCTCTGAACTCTGGGGATGCTTGGGCCTCTGCTTCCCACGCCCCCCTCTAGGGACCGGAGGGCCCCCGGCGCCCGGCAGTCGAGCTGCGTCAGGGGCGGGGTCCGGCCTTGACCCTGCTCCACCCCTAATTGGCGGCAGGTTGGCACCGACTCCGACTCCTCCTCCAGGAAGAAGCCCGGGCGGCGGCCGCCCGATAAAATGCGCCCCCGCCCCCACCCCCCCCGCAGCCACTTCCTCAAGGCCGGAGGCTGTTTATGCGAGGATCCGAGAGATTTGCATTGGGGCTCGGCGGGGAGCCGCTTCCTGGTCAGAGGGGCGAGGCCCGTGCCAGGCCCTGGCCTCGGGGCAGCGGGCCGCACTCCGGGGGGCCTCGCGGGGGTGGGTGGGGCTGAGATCTCGGGGGAGGGTCCCAGTCGGCCGGGCGGAAGTCTGGAGACCCTCCCCGTCTTCCTGTTGCAGGGAGGGTGACCTGCATGCCAAGCGCCGCCCCTGCGCCATGGACCGCGGCCAGCCCACTCCGGAGCCCGCGGCAGCGGACCACGTCGCCCCCGGCCCGAGCGTGATCGCGCCCGTGCGCGCCGTGGTCCGCCTGCGCCGCTGCGTGCGCCTCCTGCGCAAGCGGTGCCTCCCGCCTACGGCCGTGAGGCCGGACTCCGAGCCCCGGGCGCCGCGCGCGCACCCGGAGCAGCCTCAGTTCTTCACCTTCGACGGCCCGGCGGAGCTGTCCTCGAGGCCGCCGCGAAAGAAGCGCCGGCGCCGCCGCGTGGTGCTCTACCCCGAGACGTCGCGCAAGTACCGGCCGCGCGTGGAGCGCCGGAGCCGCGCGCAGCGTTGCCTGTTGTTGCTCGTGGCCATCGTGGGCTTCCAGGTGCTCAACGCCATCGAGAACCTGGACGATAACTCGCAGCGCTATGACCTTGACGGGCTGGAGAAGGCGCTGCAGCGTGCCGTGTTCGGCCAGCCGGCGGCCGTGGAGCGCATCGTGGCGCTGCTGCGGGACTACCTGGCCACGCACGTGCACAGCCGCCCGCTGCTCCTGGCGCTGCACGGGCCCAGCGGCGTGGGCAAGAGCCATGTGGGCCGCCTGCTGGCGCGCCACTTCCGCGCGGTGCTTGAGGACGGCGCGCTCGTGCTGCAGTACCACGTGCGGCACCACTGCCCCGAGCCGCGCGCCGCGGAGGACTGCCGCCAGGAGCTGGCGCGGCGCGTGGCCGACGTCGTGGCGCGGGCCGAGGCGGAGGAGAAGACCCCGCTCCTGGTTCTGGACGACGTGGAGCTCCTGCCGCCGGCGCTGCTGGACGAGCTGCACGGCTTCCTGCAGCCGCAGCGCTCGCACCACTTCCACAATGCCATCTACGTGCTCCTCAGCGGCAATGGCGGCGCGGAGGTCACGCGCTTCGTGCTGCAGAACGCGTCCCGCGCGCTGGCCCTGCGCGCAGACGGCGCCCACGGGGCCGGGGCCGCGGCGGTGGCGGCACAGGCCGAGGAGGAGCTGCGCGCCAGCCTGAGGGCGCTCCTGGTCCGCGAGCACCCGCTGTGGCAGGTCGCGACTATCGTGCCCTTCCTGCTGCTGGACAAGGGGGACGTGGTCAACTGCTTTCGGGACGAGATGGCCGGGGAGGGCTTCTTCCCGGAGCAGGCCCGCGCCGAGCTCCTGGCCGCGCAGCTGAGTTACTACCGCGTGGCTGGCCGCGAGTTCGCCGTCACTGGCTGCAAGCAGGTGGTGGCCACGGTGAACCTCTTGTAGCGCAGGTGCCACCGGACGCAGTGGACGCCCACTGGCACGACGGGACGTTGGTTTGACAGGGGCAGTTGGAGGGAGGGGACCCTGTGGATTTGCCCCAGGCCTCTAAGCCTCGAATAAATCTGTCCATGGCCCTCCGCCGGTTCACACTGGGACCTGGGGGGACCGGTGGGGCTGGGTCAGCTCTGAGCTCCTCGGCCAATTCCAACCTCCCTCAGAGCCCCAGTCTGCCACCTGCTGGGTCCTTAATCCAGCCTGCATTCTTCAGCGCCAGTATGTCCCACAGGGCTGGCTCCCCGGGAGTGGGTAGGTCTGTCTCCGTGGGACAGAGGATAGATGACGGCAGAGAGCGTGAGCAGACCCCCAGGGACACACAGCTGGTCCCCTGCAAAGTCGCATGTGACCAGCAGTCTTTCGGGTGCCCGCAGCAGCCGAACACACATTCCCACACACACACCTGCTCACCCCGGGGGCCTAAAGTTCCGGATGCTTCACCACTGCCAGAATCCCGTGGGTCTGCCTGGACTTCTCATGGCCTCTTGGGCCCAGGAGCTCCCTGGGAGGCAAAGGGCTGGGTGGGGGGCTCCACCCAATGAACTGGTCCAGTGGAATATCCCCTAAGTGGTCCAGAAAGGGGGCTCTCTCAGGGTGACAGCAGCAGGAGGTGGGTCCAAGTCGGGGGCCCTGACTTCCTGGATCCCCCTGCGCTGCCCACCAACCTGCTCCAGGGTGCTGAACTCGGGGGAGGCCTCTGAGTAGGGATCCCTCAGACCTCAGAGGTCCACTGCTTCCCAGGCCTGGGCTGGGGCCTCACGCTTGCCATCCTGGCTTCTCCGCAGCCCTGGCTCCGCAGGCTCGTGTCTCCCCGAGCGGGACTGCAGGAACCGCGCCGGCTGCCTGGGGCGGGTGAGCCTTGGGGCCCCTCCTGGGCTGGGCTCCCAAGGGGGGCGAGGCAGTTTCAGTGCTGTCTCGTGGTGGGCGCGCGGGTCAGCACGGCCCCACCCACCCGGGAGGAGGGCGCGGCCTGGGAGGTGGGAGGGACAGGAGCACAGCTAGGGGCCGAGGGGAGGGCTGGTCAGGGTGGAGGCCCCGCCAGTGTGGACTGTGCCAGGAGCTCCAGGCCCCCACCGCCGAGCTCAGCCCGACCCCTGCCCTCCCAGAACCTCCAGGACCACGGGGGCTGGTGTCTCTAGAGACCCTGTCAGACGCCCCATCCCTGGGGGTCCCGCATGGTCACAGCCGCCTCGCCGCCATCCATTCTTTTCGTGGTGGTCATGGTGGTCGGCTGCAGACCTGGATGGGCTGAGGTTTGTCAGGGAGAGGAGCCTGTTCCGGCACAGGGAAGCGACTGACCTGCCAAGCTGGCACGCAGCCCCTGGGCGCCGATGGGAAGGGTGGGGAGGGGGCACGTCCTGCCGGGAAAGGCTGGATTCCTCCCAGCTCCAGGGCTCCCTGGGGGCTGCGAGGGATGACCAGTTTGCACGATGCTTCTAAACCAGGAGCCAGACCTGCAGGTATCCAGCTGAATACACCGAAGAGACAGCGGGTTGTCCGGTGACGTTGCTCTAGCCAATGCGCTTGCTCTTTAGTTTTATGGCATTGGGTCTCTGCTTCCCCAGGGGCATTTACCCACTTGCAGCAAGAGGGGTTTGCTGCTGCAGACGCCCCCTTGCTCAGCAAGCAGGTAATCGCAGGCCCATGGTTACCTGACACCACCTCGGCTGACGAGTTAAGTGGCCATCACTGAGCTGAGGCTGCTTTGGCTCCGGAGTGGCTATAACTCTCCTAGTGTCGGGGAGCGATTCCTCATCATATGTCCATTGGTGCTCATTCCCGTCGGTGGGAGGAAAGCTCTCCCTGCAGAGGTAAAGGCAGAATCTCTTACGCCTGCTGGAATTTCTTGCTTAAGGCAGTTATAGAGGTTTAATGGGACGGATCAACGTGAGGCTTCTGTTCAGGTACGTCAGGAGAACAGGACAGTGAATACAGCAGGGCACACCGTCCTGTGTTCTCCAGCCATCAAGACAATGGGCTGCCCAAGCATAAAGGCCATCCCCCAAACTTCCACATATGAAGGTGAAACCAAGGGGCGCACATAAAGCCTCCACACGAGTGATGGAATCTATGGGTTCCTTCATTAGTGCAGAGGCACTGGCATTACTTAGCCAAGGCTCGGAAATTTTGTTGTTACACAACGGGAAGTTACCTAGATGTATGGATATGTCAGCAAGTTTACAGATGACTCAACTTGCATTGCCAGCTCCGTTGAACTTTCATGCAGATGTTCAAAAGATCTTGTTTTCCTATGCCAGGGTTGGGTCAAATTGAAGCAAGGAATACATTTAGGTGGGCTTAGCTCCCTAACTCTATAAAATGGGCCTGCAGAACAATTTGGACAGACAGCAGCATCTGGAACCCCAGTGAAATTACTTATAGGCTGAACCAAGAGGCCATTGCTATGCTGGGCCAGCTGAGGATTCCAATGGCAAATCGAGCAATCAGAGAGGCTTCCCCCTTTCTTCAGGGACGGGGAGATACGAATGAGGGTGTTGTCCTTCCATAGAAGGGAGGGAGGAACAGGGTGAGGGACCGTATTGAAGTAAAGGTATATAGGCCTGGTCCAGACGTTTTGGGAAAGCTGTTGGCCTCAGATGTCCTCTGCTCCGGGTCCTAATGGACATTATCTTCAGGTTGCCAGAGAGTGTACAGGTCCAGTTGGGATTTGGTGCCTCCTTTACATGTGACACTGAACCCAGGAGTCCCCTCTCTGGAGTTCGGTGGCACAAGCGTTAGTCAACAGGATTTGATGGGGCCCTGCCGGCGAGGCTGGAGAGGATCCTTTTGGAGGTGCCTTTTCCAGTACCCAGAATCTCCAGGCTGTGGGCTGTGACATTCGGGGTCTTGGTCTTCCGGGAGTGCGCTGCAAAAGGAGTGCTCTGCCAGAGCTTGGTGATTTTCTTTCTTAGTTTTTTAAAATTTAATTGAAGTATAGTTGATATACAATGTTATGTTAGTTTCAGGTGGACAGCAAAGTGATTCGTTACACACACACACACATATATGTTCTTTTTCAGATTCTTTTCCCTTATAGGTTATTATAAAATATTGAGTTGGTTGTCTATTTTATGTATAGTAGTGTGTATATGTTAATCCTAACTATTTTCTTAAACTTCTTTTTTTTTTTTGACCACACCATGTGGCTTGCACGATCTTAGTTCCCCCACCAGGGATCGAACCTGGGCTCTCGGCAGTGAGAGCACGGAGTCCTAACCACTGGACCGCCAGGGAATTGCCCAACTGGTTATTTTCAGTAGAAGCAATGAGGCCTTTACAATGCAGAAGTATTTCTCCCTTTCTCAGCTCGGATCAAAGAAGCAGCAACCACGTGCTTTGGGTGTCCTGTTCAGGGACAACAGACTCCATTGAACGTGTGCACATACGTCCACTGTCATGAAAAACAAAGATACTTAATGAGAGTTTCAGAACTCTTGAGGGACCAGGTAGGGAGAAAATGTAAATGCTTCAACCTTTGATGCCAAGGTACACTTTACCAAATTGTTTTAAGTTATAGACAGCTTAAAGGAGAGGAGAAAAGGGGATCCGTTATGTCTGGAAAGCAAAACATTAAAGCAATTGGTTTTCCATTAGAGTTTTAGAAATTCTTACACAGTTCAGTCGTATGATCTTAGAGTTATAAGAAAGAAAACTGTTTCAGAGTACCCGTCAGAGTCCTTTCCGTGAATCTCTTTAAAGAGGAACACATTTGGAGAAGCATCAGAGTAATGCAGTAACTATAATGACAGAAAGACTTGAAAATGCCCATTATTAAAAATCTGATGAGAATTCATTATAATGGGAGTGGCAAGGGGATCAGCTTATCTTTTTGACATATGTTTAAAATGGTGAGCGGTTGGAAATTCCCTGGTGGTCCGGTGGTTAGGGCTTGGCGCTTTCGCTGCTGGGGCCCGGGTAACTAAGATCCTGCAAGCCGTGCAGCATGACCAAAAAGACCCAAAAAACAGAAACAAAACAAAAATCATGACCAATAACATTATATCAGGACATCTCAGAATTTAGCAATTTCATATGATTTTGAGCACATGTTAATATGTACCTATACAACTATAAGGTTAAAAGGTTCTGTATTCCTTCTTATTTAGGAGCCTATTACAAGCTTCCCATGTAATCTAGCTCATCAAATAAGCCTGAATAGTTCAGCATTTTACCAGGTGAGAGACAAATCCTTTGAGATTCTCCAGGGGCCCTCTGGAAGAGCCCAGTTAGTGTAAGGTCAGCAAGACTTCATTTATAACATGATTTGGGGTAAGTTTGTCAAAAGTAACAAAAGGTTTTGGACATTTGACCAAACAGGACCACAGATCATTATGAAATGATACTTAATTTTCTGTCTGACCAAAGTAACAATAAAAGATTTCAAAGGCAAATACAAGAGGTTACATAGTTGTAAGCAAAACTTAGCTCTTTTATTTATTTATTTATTTTTAAATTTTTTTAGCTCTTTTAATATTGAGAAGAGGACTTCCCTGGTGGCGCAGTGGTTAAGAATACGCCTGCCAATCCAGGGGACACGGCTTTGAGCTCTGGTCCGGGAAGATCCCACATGACGCAGAGCAACTAAGCCCGTGCACCATAACTACTGAGCCTGCGCTCTAGAGCCCGTGAGCCACAACTACTGAGCCTGCGCTCTAGACCCTGCGAGCCACAACTACTGAAGCCCGTGAGCCTAGAGCCCATGCTCCGCGACAAGAGAAGCCACTGCAATGAGAAGCCAGTGCACCACAACGAAGAGTAGTCCCCACTTGCCGCAACTAGAGAAAGCCCGCGTGCAGCGACGAAGACCCAATGCAGCCAAAAATAAATAAATAAAAAATATTGAGAAGACTCAGTTTTCTTTAGTAATGAAAGTCCTGAATAAGACAATGTAAGCACAGGAAATAATTTTGTTAAAACACAAATCTTTGCTTTCTAAGCAGTTTACTTTAAAAAATGGTAAAGAAAAATTCATAATCTCCCACGAGAAGCAGACCAATATTCCAAGAAAACCTTGTCCTCTTAGTAAATGAAAGAAAATTGTTTTAGTTTTACCTAAGTACACTACTGATTTTTATTTTTTTAT